TTTGCATATCAAAAAGTTTAATAATGTTTTATGTTGTTTTTTTTTACAATTTTTTGTTTGTATTTTTACAATATGACAATGTTGCCTAGCTCCTGTAAACTAAGTATTTAAAATTATATTCCCCTCCACCATTATTCAAATTGCTGAACCAGAACCACTTTTTTATTTAACAAATGCATTCATAAATACAATAATAAACATATATCGAAGCTGTTTTCCCACTGAGCCTATCACACTTTTATTACACGCAGTCTTCACGCCCATAAAATACCCAAAATGTCATTTTTAATAAGGGTGGTTAAATTTATGACGTCCACAAAAATCAATAGTTTAGAAACTGTGCACTCTGTCCACACGCATCCACAAAAGTGATTTATTTGGACCTTTCTTTTGCATCCGCGTGAACGTCAAAATCGAATGACCCCTAATGTTTATTGTTATAATCATTAATATATATCTACAAAAACAAATGGGGGATGTATGACTGTCACGCTGTTCCTCCTAACAATTAGATCGGGTATTTGCGGTAAAGTTTGATGTCTTGCCAAAAAGCGATAACGGTAAAACTAGCAATCTCAATAGTCGGGTTTTAAGGTGACCAAAAACTGATCTAGACTGACCGAGATCTTATGTAAATAAACCGGGAGTGATCTCCCCTAAACTTTCTCGAATATTTTTATATAAAATAACAGGGGATGGGAACTCGGGCTATAGACATGATTTTTAATCCATTTTAAATACTTAAACTTTTAAAAATAGAATAAAATCTCGTAGACAAAAGAATTGCACACCAAGTGAACGCTAAATAAAAAAGTGCATAATAGTGCGCAATATTATTAGTACTTTAAAAATTTACATTAGTTTTTTTAGAAATCGGAAGTAGCGTAAATTACTACTTCCGGTCTACGGAAATGACTCAAAATTTAACAGAAGGTAGAGAATTAGATCTTTTACTTACATGTGAAATTTCGTTTATCTGTCTGAAATAGTACTCAAGTTATAGGCTTTTGAAAATTTCAAAGTAGGAAAAGTACCACTTCCGGTTATCGGAAATCGCTCAAAAGTTGATACGGATCTACGATTTTGATAAAATACTTATATATGAAATTTCATCAACCGAGCTGTAACGGTACTCAAGTTACACCCACACACACACACAGACACACAGACATACGGACAGAATTGTCCAGTTTTTCAGACTGGATTACGCATAAAACCTCTTAATTTTGATAAATCTGGATTGATAATTTTTGCCCGATTAAAATAAGTCCTCCATAGCCTACTTCGGATGTGATGAAGGACTGAGGTGTAATACGGTGAAAATTGTTAAAATTTCAAGTGATTTTTGTGCACGATTACAATACTTTCTCTATACTTCGTATATACGAGAAAGTAAAAATACATTAATCAAGTACTTGAATTCGATCGACCACTTGCAGCAGCGACTAAAAGTTAATATTTCGTAAGGAGAAAGCTGTGGTGCCTGGAAAAGCACCAGATTATTAGAAATAAGGAATTTAGGGATGGAAAACTGACCCGTTTTACCGCTAAATTTTTTTTACTATTAAAGGGATGTAACTGCATCAAGAATTTGAACTTTTCTTTTCCCCCGTTCTTTGACTTAACACCAAAATAAACGAAGAAAACCTTTGGATAAAAGAAAAAAAAAATCCTTTAAAATGTATTCTATATTGTTTTTAAATAGCTGTGAAAAATTAATTAATATTGACTAAGTATTAATACTTGCACCATGGCTGAAAAAAAGCATATACATCACAGATAAAACAAGTAATTAAAAAAAGTCTAGTGACAATTTTAGCGCAATTTCCTTGTGTTATCTAAAAATAGCTCTGTCGTAGCGTAAATCAAGAGCAGGGTTAGTAAAACCATTGGTTAGTTATTAAAACGTTTTTTATTAATTTTTTTTCAGTATTTTACATGTTTTATTTACGATAGAGTTACATGACTAAAAACCATTGCGCGCCTACTGAACGTGATGACGCGCCCATTGAACGTGATGGCGCAGCTATTGAACGTGATGACGCGTGTGGTGTGGTTGGAAAAACATGCCTACTAATTCGGTCCAAATTTTAATTAATTCAAAAAAAATTTTGTGACCGAACGAAAGGATATTTCTGAAAACTTTCTTCGGCAATATTGTTCTAAATTATGGCAGGAATCGATTGGTACATGTTTCAAGTCGGTAAGTGGTCTGGTTGCCGAGATATGGGCAAAAAACTGAATTTTTTCGAGGTTTTTTGGCTTTTCTGGGAAATCCATGAAAGAAACCCGGAATTTTTATGGCCTATGTTCATCCTCGTAACTTGCTTAACATAATTGCTTTTGGAACTAGTCATCGATATTGCTTCGTTGAGGAGGAGATACGACACACATCCATCCATCCATCCATCCATTCATTCATACATCCAGAAATGACGGGTTAATAAACGCAATTCTCCAGAATGGAAATTGCGCTAAAAAATTACGTTTATCAGTGCGTTTGGCGCGCATTTTCCGAGGCACTAATTTACTTTTAAATAGGGATTGAACAGTTATTTTTAACACTGCTGTTTAATAGTTCAAGAGGTTGTTTAGTACAAAGCATGGGCTTAAGATTTTTGACGTTTAAATAAATTGAAATAATTAGTTTAGTTAAACTACCACTAGTTGTTCTATGAAATTTCGAAAAATAGTAATGTAAATTGTATAGGATGGTATAGAGCACGGGTTTTGAAACAAAACATAAATATTTAGAAGAATTTTTGAAATTCGGCTTCATTAACATCACTGGAAATGTAATAGAGAAGAAACAAAGCGCACTGTACAAAGTTGTTCTCAGTCACGAATCTATGAAATCTTCAAAACTAAAACGCCATTTGAGACGAGTCATTCGAAACACACCAAAAAATATATGGAGTTCTTTCGTCGGTAAGAAGCTAGTTGCAAACGCCAGAGACTTGATCGAACAGGAAGTTTTCACCAGCATTAGTGCAAGCATCAAATGAAGTCGCGATAGAAAATGCCAAGCAAAAAAAAAAAACAATAGGAGAAAATCTCATCAAACGCTGCATGTACGTAAATGTTAAATAACACATTTTTATCGAAATTAAGCTTTCACTATTGTTTGCTTTTCAAGTTGATAAATCAACAGACGTGAGTTCGTGTTCGCAGTTGATGGTCTGTGTCTATATTCATGCGGATGATAGCAAAGAAGAGTTGCTCTTTTATGAAGATAGCATGGAGAAAATAAATACCTTTTTTGAAACTGGATGATTAAAATGGGTTAGAACGGCTGTGGGGGTTTGTACGGATTGTGCGCCATCTATGTGTAGCTCAAAATCGGGCTTTCAGATAACAGAAAATATTTAGCTCCCTAACCACTGCCCCAACCAATCGACATCAAGAGTCCATTGCTAGTTTAAGTCGTAAATTATATAAAATCTGAAGCCTTCAAAGAACTGAGCAAAAACATTAATATAGATCACGAGGTTCTACACTACAGTACGCTGGCTGTCAAACGAAATGTTGTAAATTGTGTTTTTGAATTGAAATCTGAAATCACATTGTTTTTGAATGTGCAAAGGAAACAAGACTTTTTGGTATACTTAAAACGACATAGAGTGATTGGAGAGATGTGTTCGAACATCAAGATAAGCTTAACCTGAAGCTTCCGGGAAAATGAAAGAATATTGTAACTTTTCATGATAATCTCGGGGCATTTTTATCAAAGCTGCAAAATCGGTAAAGAAAATAAATCTTGGAAATATTGTAAATTTGAGAAACTCTGCTGTGTGGTCAATGAATCTGATTGTGAGATAATTAAAATTTTGAAAGAAGCGATTTCTGGGCATCTTGAATCTCTTGACAACGAACTGCATCGCTATTTCTCTGAGCTGAAAAAAAAAAGAAGAATCTGCATTTACGCATTACCCATTCTCTTCTTCCCTTGATGTTGCCAGCATTCCCGATGAATTACAAGGTAAATTCTTTGATTTGCAGAATGATTCCGAGTAAGATGAAAAACACACAATTTTGGTGTAGTATTCACCATTCATACCCAAACGTAAAATTGATTGACTTTTCGAGAATATATTTTCAATACTGTTCTTCGATTAAACACAAAATTAAGATAATTATAATGACATAGGTTGGCGTTTTCAACACATTTTTTAAATTAAAAACTTAACCACGAAGGTTTAGTGAATAGTATGCAATTTTACTCATGCTATTAAAATAGTTATCAAGAGTAGGTCATTTTGAAAGTCTAATAGAAAATCTTATTTTAGTGCTTATTAATTTCCATACTAATTTAGGCTTTTTAATTCTATGGGGGTCGCGGGTCACTTACTTTTTATAAAAGGGGGTCGCCACTCGAAAAAGGTTGGGAACCACTGGTATAGAGCGATGTTTTTACTTTCTCTAGGAAGTATAGAGAAAGTCATGTAATCGTGCACAAAAAATCGAGATTTTTGCAATTCTATAATTTAGACTTGTTACCTCGTTTCCTACTTTTGGCCGGTAAACCTCACTCTTGCAGACAGTGTTTCTTTCAGATATTTTTCGGGGGGTGGGGCACTTAAATTTTTGCAGGGGCGAATAAAATTATCCGGGGCGGGGAAGCCCGACACTTGTAAAAGTAAAATATATTTTCTATATCTTATGTTATGAATAATTCAATATTGCAACTTAAAACCAGCTTTATTTTTATCTACCCATCCCCCCCCCCCTAGGGCTACGCTTCCGTCATATCCCCAAAGTTTCATTGCGATCAGAAGAAAGCTGTAGCACAAAGCCAGCGAGCTGCATACATTTTAATGTGTATAGTATATAGATTTATATATGAAATTTGCTGAATATATTAGGACAAAAGAATCGGATTTATTAAAACGATGCAATAATTGTACCGATATAATTTCTATCCCATGCATATAAAAAAAACGGGAATACCCATCCAGCACTAAGCACAACTGCTATTATACGGAAGAGAGGTAAAATATTTTCTTTTTAAAATCTTCAGCAAGATAGAAGCTTGTTTTTAAAATAACGTAAGCATAAATAAGCGTTAAAATAAAATATATAGTAAATGACATATGCATACTTTAAGTTATCTTTCTTTTCAAATAATAGAATCTAGGTCAATTTAAAAGAATTTTTTTTTTCGATTAATTAGTGTACATTTCTTTTACTTAGATCTCTAGATCTAGAAGAAACTGGAAACCAAAACCAACCAACTTTTATAAAGTATAAGATACGTACAAGATTTAAGAACCGAGCCAACGCTAATTATATATATATATATATATATATATATATATATATATATATATATATATATATATATATATATATATATATATATATATAATAAACAAAGGTTTTAGAAATATAGCAAAACAGTATCAACGTGTAAAGACTTGTAGCAGTTTTTTTCTCAACTTCGACTGTGTATATTTTAGAATAGCAGTTATCTTTATAATTTATCCCCCTACACCTTATGGAGCTTCAAGTTTCGCCCCCACTCTCATTGTAAAGTCGAATGATAAGGCGATCAGAAGACAAAAAATTCCTGAAGGAAATCGTTTGAAATAGAGATGGGGGAGGCTGGATTATTGATTATTAAGGTTCTATCTTAATAAAAACCAAGTGAGTTAAAAAAGTGTTGCCTAAGCCTATGCTCCTGAGGAAGCCGAAAAGAATAAAAAGAAGAAAATAAAAAGAGTTAAGAGTAGTGGTTCTTAACCTGGGTCGATCGAACAGTCTCAGGGCTTCGGCGTAGGTCAAGAGACACGCTCGACTGACATGATTCACGATCAGATTTTGTCAGTGAGGACGATAAAACTATTACGTAGAGTTCGGTGAATGCGCATTTGAAACTGGTGGGGGTTTGGTACCTCCAAATAGGTTAGAACCACTGCTTTAGAGTTTAGTATGTAGAAGGTGCAAGCTTCTTTGGTCTACTTTTGGTCGTGTCTTTAGAATATTTACGATAAAAGTGTATTACAGTTTGACAAAGTTAAGTTTAACAAAATAACCAAGTAATAGCAGTCGTCGTGTTATACCACTTTTCACTTCGTTTAGTAGATCTTGTTGCCTTATTATATGAAAATTGCAGTATTAGGACTTGTTATGAAACAAACAATCAAAAATGATCTATTCGGTACAATATACTAATTTTCTTAGCTTTTAAAATTTCGGCCAAGAGTATTGTATTTTACCCACCGCTCCCACAGACTGCTATTTTACTGATCGGATAGCGATACAAGAATCCGTGATATTTATTTCTCTTCAATACAGTGATCCGGTTAAGATGTAATGCAATCAAGTAAAGGTATATGATCTCTCTTGTTGCAGTTGGGAGAATCGTAAGAATATTCTAAAGAACTAGTCGCGTCATTTCTTTCCAAAACTGGCTAGTGAAATCGTATATTATGCGTTGATACAAAGGGTTTCTATTTTAAGTGTTACATTACTTATCTACTCGCCGTTTCGGTGTAAAACCTTCCCATTCATCTTGGCTAAAAAGCTCCCCCACTCATCACCTTTTTATTATTTTACTATTACACAATACGCGTTAATACAATTTGCATATTTTCTAAGTTTTAGAAGAGTTATCTACTCACCAATTTAATACAAATCCTTGAGATTTTTGTTGGAACCCCCTTCCCACCATCTCGGACAAAGTTGGTAGAGCGGGTTTTATCGTCACTAACTCTTTTTTTAAAGTTATAAACGTTATCTACTCACCAATCCAGTGTAAATCCTTGCGATGTAGTTGGTGAAAATGCCCCACCCCCCGGCACCATCTTGAAAAAGGTTGTTAAAGCGGCTTTTAACGTCACTACCTTTTTTACCGTTTCATCCACGATAGTAAAATACGATTTAATACAATTGGTTTCATTTATAAGTAGTAAAGTTTATCAACTCACCAATACATCGTAAATCCTTCCGAGTTTAATCGGCGAAAAAGCGCCCCCCCCCCCCCCCCCATCTAAGAAAAGCAAGAAAGCGGTTTGTTTTTGCTTATCACTGTTTCTTAAGGGCATATGTTTTACAGTTACACAATCAAGATAGAAAACAGTTAAATATGAAAATAATAGCTTGTAGCTGGTAAATTTTTTAAAACTGTATTTATAATTCAAAACTGCCGCTTAATATAAGCTTTAAATCTTTTTTTCTACCCTATTTGGCGCCCAAATCAGGTCGGCGCCCTTGCAGCCGTCCCCCTCTCCACTTCCCTCCCTAGATACGCCTCTGCAAAGGAGTTGTTAATAATCCATTTTATTTGTAATTGGTATTTAACATTTCAGCTAAATGGTAAATTTTAGGCTGACTTTATAAAATGACAAAAGAGTAGAATTATTTGTACAGAAGCAATACGTATACTAGTATAAATTTGATCATGTTTGTTATGTTTTCAGGTTCGGTACCAACTCAAGGGAAAAAATGGACGTCGCTAGTTCAGTTTTAGTGCTCTTGTTCATTGTCAGCCTCTCGGGTTTGTTCCCATTTAGTATTTGTATAATACAGATAGAAAATATAAACCTAAATATGAAAAATGTTTAAATAAACTAATAAGAATAAGCTGAGTCTCTTAAAAAAACAATGAACAAATATTTATAAAATCAAATAAAACCATGGTTTATTATTTGTATGATGCATTTTAAGAAGTAGGTTTGTCTCTAAATACAAACAATCCTATAAACTTTATATACTTTTACAGATTAGTATATATTAATGTGGCTAAATGTAGATAGAAAAACGTAATAACATCCATAGTTTATCTAGAAAATATATACTTTAACTAGTGTCCGACCACAGAGAAAAATATCTGAAAGAAACATTCACACTGCAATTACATGCAAGGAATTACATTATGAAATACTTCAGATAGTTCCATAGCAAATTATCTCATGACAAATTATCTCAGACAAAATATCTCTAACAAAATATCTCATGGACAAATTATCTAAGGACAAATGATCTCAGCACAAATGATCTTAAGGACAAATGACCTCACGGACAAAAGATACCAGGACAAAATATATCAGGACAAATGATACCATGGACAAATGATCTCAGACAAAACATCTCAGACAAAATATCTCACAGCAAAATGTTAATGTTTTTAATTGACTGTCAATATGGTTTTTTTTTTTTTTTTACTTTTCTACGCATAATAATTGTGAATAAATTAAATTTCTTAAACTTGACAAAGCATCAAAGATGTATTAAACGTAATCTTTGTAATAGCATCTGATTTTTAAAAGTAAAAGTTAAAAAAAAACTTACTCCTGAAAGGTGTAATAAATAATATAGTATAAAACAAATACGGTAAGGGTAGCTATACAACATTAATGTTCAAAACACGTGAAATGTTTTTTTTTTAATTTGAAATGGTCTTTAGGTTCGTAACGTAAAACTATTATTTTTATTGCATCATCAACAAAAACATAACGCTTACGTTTCTTTGCTGGCAGGTACATAGTTGTGATCACACCTCTCCAATACTATGTGATCATGTTTTGTGTGAACTCTTGCTCGACGTGTTCTAACTTCACATTTTCAAAATCTCTTTGCCTGCTACTCCACTTATGGTTTTTATAAACATAAATCCGCCAGAAACTAATGTCCTAAAACCTTTCTGCGAGGTAACGAAAGAGGCCATAGCTGATTAATCACCACTAGTACGGCTTTGTTTGCATGCACACTACGACAAACTTAGCTTCGCGATGACCACTGTCGTTTAAATAAGCCTTTGTCACTTGATCACTAAGGTGTAACCAACGCATTACTATTGACTTAAGATGCTAGTTGTATTGTCCATGGAGGGCGGATGTCTTTCCCTTAAGGCATGTCTCAGCAACCAAAGCGGGCGGCCACCTTGATACGAACGTGTGTCATTATTATCATTTCATTCCCTTTGATCTAGTTTCGTCCACCTGACATGGTAGGATAGTCTCATGTTTAGCAAGCTCACCTACGCTGTCTATCGAAAAATTTCTTTAATCTTCAAATACTATATTAGTAATCTTAATTTCAAAATGTTTGGTGCAATATGACAAATTTATGCAGCAAACATTCCTTAAAATTATTATGCACGCCTATAAACAATATTAAATATAGTAAACAATACCAAATGGCAGTCATTTTTAATAAACCGGGAGTGATCTCCCCTAAACTTTCTCGAATATTCTAATATAACACTACGGGGGATGGCAACTCGGGATATAGATGATTTTTAATCCATTTTAAATACTTAAACTTTTAAAAATAGAATAAAATCTAGTAGAAAAAAGAATTGCACGCCAAGTGAACGCCAAAAAAATATGTGCATAATAGTGCGCAATATTATTAGTACTTTATAATTTACATGCGTTTTTTAAGAAATCGGAAATAGCGTAAATTAGTACTTACGGTCAACGGAAATTACTCAAAATTTGACAGAAGGTAGAGAATTAGATCTTTTACTTACATGTGAAATTTCATTTATCTATCTGAAATAGTACTCAAGTTATAGGCTTTTTTTAAAATTCAAAGTAGAAAAAAATACCACTTCCGTTTATCGGAAATCGCTCAAAAGTTGATCAGGATCTACGATTTTGATAAAATACTTACATATGAAATTTCATCAACCTAGCTGTAACGGTACTCAAGTTATCGTGTTTACACACACAGACAGACACACACACAGACATACGGACAAGATTGCAAAATTATGTTTTTCCGTATCAGTGAGGTGTAAAACGTCGAGATTTGTAAAACCCTCGATTTTTTTTTTTGCACAATTACAAGACTTTCTCTATACTTCGTATATACGAGAAAGTAAAAATGTTCAGATTAACTAAAATAATCCAATACACTATTAGAATTTTGCTGTTAGATATTTTGTCTGAGATATTTTGTCTGAGATCATTTGTCCTGAGATCATTTGTCCGTGAGATATTTTGTCTGAGATATTTTATCTGAGATCATTTGTCCTGTCACCCTTTTTTGCCTTGTT